TTTTAATGAATATTAAATCTACAACTTTTGTCCCCATTTTCTTGTAATAATAATTTATGATTGTGTGGCAGCTAAGCATCGGTAGAATTATCGATGTACTGTTGTCTATGATGATGATGAATCTACAACAGTGCATAAAGCTAACAACTAATGTTTGTGTGTTCCATAAGTGAGATATACTCTGTTCTTTTTTAATGTTTCTGTTATTGTTTCTGGTATTGGTTAAAATATTTACTATGTCTAGTGTTATTATGTTTATCATTACTATACTTTTATTAGAGATTGTTTTGCATTGTTAACTTAGTAAGTGAATTTTGGACCAATCTAAATCTCCTAAGCTTACTGAACCTTATGAGTTATTATTGGATTTATGGCCAAAAATATAGTTAACAATGAGAGTACCCAAATTGTGAATCACTATATTCTAAACTTTATAAGAAAGTGAGAAAACTGTATTTAATTAGCTATATTTATTACCAGGTTGATTTTTAGTTTTGCAGTGATCAGAAGTTGTTATTTATTATGCTGAAGTAGTTAATTTTTTGTACGATGTAACAGTAGTATAACTTGTGGATGTTCAGATCCCATGACCAATACTTTTTTTTTTATTTGTATGATGTTTTCAGGCTTAGTTAATGGTAGCTGATAGGATGGATCAAAGACAAAACTTATCAAGATCTGAATCAAACAGCGCAGCCACAGAAAATCCATCCTTCTTTGAAAAGTTATTCTGTAGAGGTGCTACTCAAAGAAAAGGAAAGAAGTACAGAAAAGTTGTGGCAAATCTTGCCTTTTCAGGATCGCACTCTTCCAAAAGTCACCCTCATTATGGATATGCCAACAATAGAATACGCACCACAAAATATACTCTTCTTTCTTTTATCCCTAAAAACTTGTTTGAACAGTTTCACAGACTTGCCAATTTGTACTTCCTTGGAATTGTACTTCTGAATTGGCTACCTCAGATTAATGCATTTGGAAAAGAAGTTGCCATGATACCTGTAGTTTTTGTACTTGGTGTAACTGCTGTTAAAGATGCTTTTGAGGATCATCGTCGTTACCTGTCTGATAAGAGAGTTAACAACTTGACATGTAGAGTGTACAGTCGGTAAGTTGACATACTCTGACATTTCTGTTATTTTAGATTTGTCTTCAAAAGAGGATGAGCTTTGAGTATATTTCTGGGAGCTTTCCAGCTTCTGAGAGATGAATATCATTTTATAGTTGAGCATAATCATCAAGCTTAAGTGGCAAAAATAAATCTGTGGTAATTTGAGATTGCACTTTAATATATTTATCTTTTTCTTCTTAAAAAATACAAAATTTTCTAATAAACTAATTTCCACAAAATTAAATGGTTTTGGGGTTACACATAAATTTTTTAGTGTTTCATTCAAGATTATTTAAAAAATTGGCAGATTGTCCTTAACACATAAAATATTTTATAAAAGGTAGGAGTTCTGTATTCTTGATTATGAAGAGTTACATTGTAGACTTGTGCTGACCAACAAATGGTGTTTCCTTCACAGATTTATTTAATGTAATAACTTAGCTCATACAAGAGAGAGGGTTATGTATAAAAGAAGTTGTCTGTCCAGGTACAGTACTTGTGGTTTGACCTTCATTGTATCATGTTATTGCAAGAGAAAGTCAAGGTAGTTTAATGTATAAAGGCTGACCTAAATTCTGTATCATGCTGTACTTTTGTAAGAAATGTACAACACTATATGCAGACACAAACAGTTTAATTAGTTTGGTGAAGTATTTTCAACATGTACATGGTAAGACCTGAAGAACTAATTACTTCTTTCAGAAACAAAATATTTGCTTACGTTGGAAAAATTAGAAAATGCTTATTTATTATTAATATGATCATCTGATTTAGTTTCTACTTTACACAAAAAATATCAAAATTGAGTAATAAAAGTTATACATTTCTAACTAATTGAAATAATTCAGATTTGGAATTTAGTAAATACTGATATACCTTGTATATTTACTACCACAATCTAAAAAGTATCTCTGGTAACGCATTATAATAGTATTTCTTTAGAGTAATGATAGTGAATTGTAAGATAAGCTTTCTCATATTACACAGTGTTCAGGTAATGGGTTTTTCCCAAGGTTCTATAGGATTCCCATAGGATTTGTAGCCCCTCCCCCTTTTTTGAGCTTACTCATATTATATACAGTGTACAAGTAGTGTGTTTTCCTTTAAAGTTCTGTAAAAGTTCCACATTATTCATAGCCTTTTTTTTTGAAGAAGTAAAACTTAATGGTTTTATTAAATAAATTAGAACAATTTAAGTAACTTAAAGTAATATGAGTACAGACAAATTTGCAATTTTTATTTGCTATGCCAACCAAACTTATACCAATCGTAAACTATCCGTGTTCATGATTGGCTTCAATAATTTACAAGCTACTCCCTTATGCTTATTTTTCAAAGTGGTCTGGTTTTGATGGATGCGATACTGTTTTTATAACACTGGTTGAAATAGCAGTTGTAAAACAATTAGTTATTATTAGTGCAACAGTGTATATTCTTTAAACTATTACCACATGCAGAATAATAACTATATCAACATTGTCTGAGAAAAAAAAAAGATAGAGATGGCCAACACACATTGAATAAAATAATCTTTCAATCTTTTTTAGGCTAACTTACATTTTTCTGAAGTTTTCTTAAAATGTTAATAAAACAACTTCAATTACATTTAAAGATGCTTTTTCGAGCACACACAACCTATCATTGTTGACATTTTACATTGTATAGGTCTTGGACATTTAAGTTCATCTAGCTACTGATGTTAGATAATAAATATCCGATGAAAGACATTGTATTCTTAGTTCTTGTTAGTAGTTTGAAGAAAAATATTTTTTCTTTGAGTAGAAATTAAAAATAATGTGTGAAAATAGTACTAAAATATCATGGGAGATTTCTGAGTTCTGTAATTGTAAGATTTGAGTAAATAATGTGTAAATTCTTGTAAATGTTAAGTACAAGTTATTACATATATATGTGCAACAAGCATTTTACTTCTAACAATAGATTGTATCAGTAAAACTTATCTGTCACTTATGATATAATGAAGGCTCAACAGGGTGCAACTTGTATGAAGTTTAATGACTAAGACAAGTCACAATTTTAAAAAGTAATTCAGAGTAGTAAATAACATTTTATTTAAAAGTGAGAAATCAACTATAAGAGTTTGAAACAAATGAAGCTTAAAAATATGAAATAAAAACAAAAATGAAGGTATACAGCTGGCTTTTAAATAAGCATTTGAGTTACATCTTACTAAAGTACTTGTACCACTGGATAATTTTAAAGGAACAGCTTTTAATGGCCATTTTTACTTTTTTTGTGGATTTTATATTTCTGTAAAGATGAACACTTATTTCTTACATGTGCAGAACTGAAATTATTCATGTAAATAATGAGAGAAAAGGACAAAAGTGCAAGACCCCCCCTATTACATGAAAGTAAACTCCACCAGAGTATAGGCACATGTTGATAGTTTATGTTGTGATTGATTAACATCCAACCTGTCAGAATGTGTCATACTAGTACAAAAATTATAAAAGTATAGTCAGTCATACCATGCATAGAAATAGTGTGGTTCCAGCCATGGCTTGCAGTAGTGAAATGCTACATGATAAGCATTTAGAAATTAAAGTTTTGGCTAGTTAAGGATACTCCGTGGGAAAAACTGTGAAAAGGCTCCATGTTTCAGTAGGATTTTTTATGCAAGAATGTAGAGGCCACACTTCCATTAGTGAATGTCCTGGCATATTATACACCCAGAGTTATCCTTTGGATGGCAAACATTAATTGTATGGAAGGCTCAGGGGCATCCCTGCTTTGATCCTCTTTGTCAGTAGGCCTAAAAAATATTGGATCTTTGACTGACCCTAATTTATTGCTGTAACCCTAAAAAAAACTTTCAGTGTAGTTGAATTAAGTATTTGATATGGGCTTAAAAATTTAATACTTAATTGTACTGAACTCAAGTAAATCACAAGTAAGTCAATTTATACCATTGGCACAGTGAAGCATCATATGATTGTTTGGTTATTGTTTGTAACACGTATTAGATGTATACCAAGAAATACTGTACACACACGCACAGATAAGACATTTAATAGATGTCTAGTCCAAATGACCTGATTTGAAACATGCACTGGGATAAAGTTGCATGATTACAATAACATTTAGCAGTGTTCTGAGACCTCCAAGTTTTCGAATGGTACTTACAAAATTGATGCCCTGCAAGTTCCAGATTTTCAGTTTTTGAAAATTAGTGGAAGTGCTGAGAGGGTATGTGAAACTGTAACAGTTGATAATAGAAGTGATTGAGGTATAAAAATGATGGTAAAAATGTTCGAATATTCTTGACAGTTGAGGTTCTATGTGAATGTATCATAAAACTTCAGGAGGTTGAAAGGTGGCCAGATAACTTGTATGAATTATGGAAGGGTATTCCACAGTTGTACATTGATAAACTGTATGACATCACAAGACAGTGTATAATACTGTGTGTAAATCAAAGAACTCGCATACAAAATACTATTGCATTACACAGCGTATCAGTGTTTATTTTGTATTTTCTGTAATATTCTTTTGCACCATTCATAAGTTCACAATCCAGTTGCTATTACTTGTGCATTTTTGTAATTGTTTCAAGTGGTATATTTTTTATTAAGTTTTCTGTCTGTATATTAAACTGTAATACATTTTTAATTTATAAAAGATTGAGTCAGGGGTATACAGATTATCTCTTTATAGCTAAGCCAACTCTTAGAATGGGAAAGCTCAGTAACTGCACAATTTATAGAGAATAAAATAAGCCAAGCTAGGCTGTAATGTAACATTATATTAAGGTAACAGTTGGTGCATTACTTGAGCTTGATGATGATAGCTGTTTTTTTCTACCGGATAGTCATGCATGATGGGTTCTATGTTTTATTTAGCACAACAAGACTAGTAAAATTTTGAATGACATGCAGGTACTTTCCTTTTGCAAATTATGTATCTTCAAAACAAAAAAGTGAAAATTTCACCATGAAAATAGGTTTAAATGCATATATGTTTTGTACATATAGCTATATACTTCTTGAGAGAGCTATTAATATTTCTTTAAGATAAAACAAATGTAATGTATTTCATAAAATCAATAAAACTCTCTTATGAATTGCTCAGAAGTAAAGTTGTGTTTTTGGTGTTTCTTGTATGCTGAATAAGTTGATGTGTGTAGAGGAAGTTTCTGCTGGAATGCTTCGTTATACATGTACATTTTGTATACGCTTTAACAGTACAACTGAAACTAATTTACTGTTAACATGTTCATTGGAAAACTGTCTGTTTTTTTTTTGGCCATTGGAATCATTGTATTTTTTATAGTTTGAGTTTTTACTTTGTCTTCCTTAAAATACAAATCTATGTGAAAATGTTAATATTTGATACAGAATTATTTTTAACAAATCACTTTTCTGTGGATTAAGTAAAACTTTGACTTTTCCACCCAATAGAGCCATCAGCTCCAAATTCAGTAGTTTGCTTATATGCTATCCAGTACCTGCATAAAAATTATTCCATTAAAATTGAAATATTTAATAAGTTATTGCATCACAGATAAAGCATTTGAATGTGAAGACAAGAAATAACAAATTCTCCTTCAAATTTCAAAATGCTCTGAATTGTTCATTCTGGTCAGTGAAAGCTTTCAACACAAGGAATTGCTTGGGGCCTTAATCTTTTAGGGGTTTTACACTGTTGAGGTAAAAGAGTGGTCTTTTTGTTTGTCGAATCTTTCACTTGCAACAAAATATGTAATAATTAATCGTTTAAGTACATTTAGGCACCTAATTTTCCTTTAATTATTATTATCATTCTGGATAAGTCATCTCAGTGTGCAACCTAGGTGGATTATATGATCCGACTATCATTTTCCATGGAGCCTGACATATGCTGAGGCCAGTACTTTCTTCTGCTCAACTTGTGGGATATCTTGTACAAATATTGATTACTTTGTTTTTACTGCTTTTGAGAGTCTAAGTTTGTATTTCTACAAATGATGTTCACAGGCTAATATGTAGTGTATTATC